GGCCTATATTGAACCTAGTTTGAACCAATATTGAACCTAAGATAGACCTACTTTAAGCCAACATTGAACCAATATTGAACCTAGGATAGACCTACTTTAAGCCAACATTGAACCTACATTGAGCCTAGTTTGAACTTACATTGAACCTATAATGAACCTACTTTGAGCCAACATTGAGCCAACATTGAGCCTACTTTAAGCCTACATTAGATCTACATTGATACTAAATTGAATCTACTTTAAATCTTTCATGAACCAATTTGTCCACATACCCAACCAAAAATTTTAGCATTATACCAGAGTTAATTACTGGCGCAGTACTGGTTCAGTATTGGCTGCTGAGGATGGGCAGACTGTACTGAACCAGTACTGGTATTTTCATTGTATCAGTACTGGTGCAGTACTGAGGCAAACCAGTACTGAGCCGATATTGAGCCAGTACTGGCTCAAATAGATTTTCTTTTTGATTAATACTAGTTTGCAAAAAGTTCTAGAGTGAATACAATGAATCTTTTTGTTTAAATATTTTGTTCATCAAAATTTTTTCAACTTGATATTATTATTCAAAATTAAAATATACTTTATTTTGCTTTTCTGTGGGTAAAATTATTTAAACAAAAAGTTTCCTGAGACCAAGTCTAAAACATTTTGCAAGATTTTCTATTTGTTTTCAGATATGCAATAAACCAAAAAAAAAATTTTAAAAGATCAAACTAAAAATAAATAAATTTGTTTATAAAAAATTAATATTTTTTAAAATAAAATTTTTAATATTAATTTAATTTAAAAAATTAAATACAATCGCAAGTAAAATTGCACAAATGTTATATTATCAATAATATAAAATATACAATTAACCTTTCTTAATAGAAATTATAAAAAATAGTTCAACCTACAAACTTATATATTTCAATAGTCAATAAAATTATTGTAATTTGTTTCTAGATGTTATTCGTCAGTTTTTTTTCAAAAGTGAATTATAAACAAAAATTTAATGTTAATTTAAAAATAATTTAGATAAATTTTTTAATAATTACCTAATTTCAGGAATTTAGTATTCATTATTTGTATTAAATCATTATATTTGTGATGAGTTAATTTGTAAACTAATTTTGTTTTATGTAAATTGAATTGAATTCAATGTTAATTTATTTATATTTGATATAATAATTAATAAATTAAAGTGAATAATAAAATAATTAAATAGTTAATTGCAAAATTATATACATTATAATTATTTTATAAACATTTTTATTTTTACTGAACTGTTTTTATATATATTATAAAAACTTTGGTTTTATAAAAAACATATTTTTATATTTATTTTTTGATTCTTTAAAATAATAATTTTCAATATATATTATAAGAAGGAATGAAAATTATTGATGTTTTCGATTTTATATAATAAAATATTAATTAGTTAGTTGACTAATTTAATTAATATTTAATTTGTCTTGGGTTACTAAAAATTTCAGACACTTTTTCCTAAGTATACCAAAAAAAGTATTACCTGGAGTGAAACTTATCTCTGTTACAGTTAAAGCTTTCTTTTCGTATACAATTTTTTTTTTTTTTTGTTTTAACTTCAAAAATTGAATTATTTATGAGAAAATGAAATATTTTTTTTTAAATAATTTTTTCTTTATGAAGCAAAAAATGATTCACTAATCAATTAATTTAATAAAGAAATTAAAATACGATTTTTGCAAAAAAAAAAAAAATTTGTTAAGTTTTTCTAAAATATATTTTTTAATATCTTTCAAATTCTTGCACATCAAAATTCTTATATAATGTAAAATTCCCAACTTCTTCTTCTTCTTCTTCTCTTTAATAAATTTAAATTATTTTCATCTTTTGAGAATTAAAAAAAAATTAATTTTTTTTTAATTACAGCTTTAATGAATTTTTGTTAAATAATTTGTTATTATTTATATATTAAGATGAAATTTAAAGACGCCGGAATTTGGAAGATGCAAAATATGCGCAACATAGAAATACTTCAAGGAGAGAAAATTTCAATTTTGAAATAATTACCTGTGTGGCAAATTCTAAAATTAATTGAGCAAAATTTCAAAATTGATTATCTTTTGTATAAATATAATATTAAACACTGCAAAGATGTATTTAGCTTTTGTGTTTATTGATTCTAAAGAGGATCGATCCTTGGCATCAAAGATTCTCTCTTGTAGAATATATATATATGTCTGGACGAGATATTCACAGGTAGGTATTAACACTCAATCAAGCTTTGATCCAGTCACCATTCTAAGAAAGTTCATTCAAGAACTAAAATATATACACGTAACGTGCAATCAAAAGGAGGAACCTTGTAATCTCGATGTCATTATGCAATTTACATCTCCAATTTTTTGTTTGCAAAAAAAAAAAAAAAATGATACAATCGCTGTTTCAAAAAAAAAATTTTTTTTTGATACAAGTCAATGATAATTATTAGAATTAAGCATAATTTTCGCAGGTGCAAAAAATTTGGCAATGACTAATTAAAAAGCATGAAGCTACTTTTTTTTGTTATTAAAATAGATTTAAGATAGAAATTTTTTTTATATCAGTATTTGTTTATTTTTTTTATAATTTAATATTCAATGAATTATTAAAAATTTTATGAAAATAATTGCTTTTTTCAAATTATACTAGAACTGATGTTTTGACATGAAAATAATAAATACTATATATCTAAGTAATAATAATAATAACTAAATTTATAATTAAATATTCTGTGTTATTTGTTCATGACATTAAATTAATTTAATGTGAATTAATACAAAATACAGAAAATTGCCTAGCCCAACTAATTAGTTACATAAATTTAAATTCAACAAATTATTGTTGAGACTAATGGCAATGAACGAATGTAATTATTAAATTTTATAATTTTCAATGTACAGAAACTTAATTTCAAATATTATATTAATAAATTTAAATTTTATCTGTTACTTTTTTTCAATTTATTCATCGAATTATTTACTTATTTTTTTTTTTTAAATGTGTGAATTACTTCAATGATTATTATATCAATAAAAAACAGAAAAAAAAACAAAGAACAATTTCATCGTGTTTGTTGATATAAGAATTGAGAAGAAGTTATAAGATATATTTTTTTTTTTAAAAGTCTTTTCGTGAATATTATAATAATTATATCGACGCAAGATAGTATAATAATGTCTGAGACGAAAATTATATATGTGGGAGGCGAAGTAACGATCGAGAATGAGAAAATAGACATATTAAATAAAATACACAAGGATAATGGCGTAATGGTAACCAATTACACCTACGAAGCTCAAAGTTAGCAAATATGTGCACTTAAAGTGCATCAGAGGTTAATAATCTTGAAAAGTTCAAGCTCATTTATACTTGAAAGCGACTCTGGTTGCCTAGTAGCAGGAGTAAACCTTTCACTTATACATATATGTCGAAAACTTTTCAAAGGAAAGACTATTATAGAAGTTTCATTAAAATATCTATTCTATACCTTTAAATATTCTAATTTTCTAATTAAAATTTAATTACAATTAATTTCTAATTAAAATTTAATTACAATTACTATTTTTTAAACAAATATAAATAAGATTCTTTGTATAATTTTCTTAAATCAAAAAATTAGAAATTTCATCTACAAATTTTGTATGTAAATAAAAAATTTTTAATTTATACTTAAATTGATTAAATATCTAATTAAAAAAAGTATTAAACTTATTAAATTTTTTTTCAGTTATTTCTTAACAAATAAAATGTTTACTATTTTTTTTTATTTATTATTATATTAGTTTATTTAATATTTTTCTCTAAAAGTATCAATTAGTTGTAATACTCTATTACTTTGAAAATGTTTCAGGATTTATAATTGAAAATTAATATCTCATTTAAGAGAAAATTTTTTTTGAAACTATTTTGTGCTTAAATATTTATAATTTGACATTATTAAAAATTAAACGAATTAAGTATTAATTTAACAAAATTAACTGAAAGTAAGTAGTGCAACGATAATTTTCTGCTCGTAGCGTAATAAGTTGAAAGCTGTTTCCGTTTATACTTTTATAAGTATCTCTCAAGTATATAATATATATATTAATCTTAAATAATAACATTAATCATCCTGTAGATTAAAAATAATAACAATAATAATAATTTGTAACAGAAACTTCAAAATTATTTCTTAAATAACGAATTCTTTTTATAATCTTAATGAATTTTAAATTTTTTGTCTGAAAATAAAAATTTTAATTATTTATAAAAATATTTATTACAAAAAAAGTTTTAAACTTTAAAAAAAAATAAAATTTTTACTAATATAATAATTAGTTATTTTTTACTATAATTGCTGGAAAAAATACAATGATTTTACTTGCAGGTATTTTTAATCATTTGGGGTTAAAAAAAAAAGTTAAATATTGAAAATATAAAAAAATTACCGACACAGAAATCTACCTTACCAATTGATGGTAGGCTAGATTCCTATGTCGGTAATTTTTTATATTAGCATTTTTCAAAATAATTGAATTTCACTGTTATTCAGATTTAGAGAGCAACATCTCATTGCTCGATGAAAAAAAAAATCTCTCCTATCTTGAATATAATACGATTTTTCAAATCGTTGAACGAATTTCTAAACATATATGGAAAGTCCACTAAAGTCACTCAAAATGATAAACGTATGATCGTATTATGATGTAGAGTGCTTCTATTCTGCAAACACTAGAAAATGTATGGAATATTGTACAACTGACCCATATCATGCTTGTTGAATTCCTCATTAATATATATGATTATTCAGTAAAATGTTCGTTGCATATTTTATATAAATCTCAACGTAAATATGTATTAGAAACTAGACACGCGATGTACAAAATTTATATTTAAAAATATTTACTACTATACACATGAAAAAATAACTATTTTTGAATTTCAAAAATATTTTTTTATAATTAAAACAATATTTCATTCAATAATGACGGTATTCTTCTTTTTTTTTGTTTCAGTATATATTCGTGGTAATGGGTGTGTTTATACTGGAAGCTGGAGTTGGTGCTCAAGCTCGTATTTATGAAGAGCAAGTTGGTCCAGAACTAAAATGGAATCTAAACCGCACTTTCCTTGAAACATATTCCGTTAGGTCCAGGGAAACATCTGCCATTGATCAAATGCAAAAAGAGGTAAGTAAATTCAGTGAGAAAATGTTTTTTAAAATTCAAATTATTTTCAAATGGTATTTAAGATAATAAAATAATAAAACAGTAAAACAATAATTAAATAATTACATAATAAAAAAAAAAAAAAAATTATAATAATAGAATAAAAATTGAAAATTTCTTTTATGTCTTAATCAAAAATTTTCATATTGTTGTACATAATATTAAAGGATTGCTTTTCTTTTGAAAAATAATGTTTTGCTGCGCACAAATGCAATCGAGCGTAAAAGATATATATATAGAAAAACAGAAGACATTTGTCGGGAACAATAAAAAGGCTGAAAGTTTTGTTTCACACATATTTTTCAGAGTACATAACACCATACCAAAAAGTGTTGTGTAATATCGTCAATTCGTTTCTGCTGTGTTGAGTTTTCAAGTTTTTCCACATATTTCTCGCAAAGAAACTATAAACGAAAAAAAAAGATTTCCTATAGCAAAACAGTTATTATTAATTTAAATTAAAAATTCTTTTGTAGAATAATTTTTTTCTGTAATCATTTACAAAAATAATTCATTAAACTTTTAGCAGTTTTTTGAAGGTAATTTTTAGTTTAAAATTAGTTTATTATTATTATTATTATTATTATTATTATTATTATTATTATTATTATTATTATTATTATTATTATTATTATTATTATTATTATTATTATTATTATTATTAATAAGAATAAAATAATAAGAATAAATAATTAATAAGAATAAAAATATTAAATTATAACAAAAAATAATTTTATTTTAAAAATACAAAAAAATCTTGTACGAGTTTTATTTCTACTATATATTTTTTTACCACTTTGAAATGAGACGAAACATTGAGTTTAAAAAGCGTGGCGCTATTTGATGACACATTGATAAAACATAAAGCACATCATTCCATGGAGAAACATAAATACTTGGTAAAGCTTGGCGTGAAAAAAATCCATACAAAAGCTACGTGCTTCTCTTGTGGTCATTCGAAAGAATGTTTCACGTGCATTCGAAACAAAGTTTCTACTGGTTATAAAAAAGGAAAAAGCAAAAAAAAAAAAAAAGAGAATGAAAGAGAGAGAGAGAGAGAAAGAGATGTTTTCAAAAGCCATATATTTTTTTTTATGAAAACGTGCTCAGAAAGAAGTAACACCAGCGCGCAAACATAAATGTATAACTGGTTCTTGTTATATCTTACGAGAGAGAGAGAGAGAGAGAGAGAGAGAGAGAGAGAGAGAGAGAGAGAGAGAGAGAGAGAGAGAGAGAGAGAGAGAGAGAGAGAGAGAGAGAGAGAGAGAGAGAGAGAGAGAGAGAGAGAGAGAGAGAGAGAGAGAGAGAGAGAGAGAGAGAGAGAGAGAGAGAGAGAGAGAGAGAGAGAGAGAGAGAGAGAGAGAGAGAGAGAGAGAGAGAGAGAGAGAGAGAGAGAGAGAGAGAGAGAGAGAGAGAGAGAGAGAGAGAGAGAGAGAGAGAGAGAGAGAGAGAGAGAGAGAGAGAGAGAGAGAGAGAGAGAGAGAGAGAGAGAGAGAGTGTTGCAAAATAAAGAAAAACTACAGTCAACTAAATTCACTTAAAAAGTCATCTCCTTTTTTTTTTTACTCTTTCTCCCTCTGGCAATTGGGAAAATTAACTTTTATTTCATTAAACGTAAATTTGTTTTCTCTCATATGTAGACTTTTTTAATTTTCCCCTTTTTAATTTCATGCTGTGCGCACAGTTTAAAAAAAAAATAATTTATTTTTAATTCGATATTCTTAATATTTATTTCGTTAAAATAAATTTTAAAAGCAAAAAAGCAGAGAATTTAAAGTTTTAGTTTTTCAATTTTACACCCTGTGTGTGTGTCTGACCGCAGGAAATTTATTTCACTGCGTGAAATTTCTACTTGCTCTACTTTTCAATCTAAACCACTAATTTTCTCAGCTAAGCGCGCTTCAACATTGTTATATATAAATATATTTCGAATTTTCTAGCTATAAATTCTCAATTATTTTGCTTTTTTTTTTTATTTAAATAGATTTCAATATTATTAATTTTAAATATGAAAAAAATAATCCTTTTTTTTTTGACCTTTTGCAATTAAGAGGAAAATACTTTGAATTTGAGAGAAATATTACATTAAAAAATGAAAGGAATCCTCTGGTATTTTTTTGTAAATAAAAAAAAAAAAAAAATTTGGAATTAATTCAACAAAAGTTGAAATTCAGTATAAATTAGTTTGAACCGCGCGGTATATTTGTTTTTTGTTTCATTAAAGGAATTTAATTAAATGAAAGTTAATGTAATGAATAAAAATTTACGTTTTCAGTTCAAATGTTGCGGAGCGATGAGATTCGAAGACTGGGTTGCAAGCGAATGGCACAAAGATGAGGAGGTTCAGAGGAATGAGAGCCTCGTACCAGACAGCTGTTGCAAAACTCCCAGCTTCCTATGTGGAAAAAGGGACCATCCTTCGAATATCCAATATACAGTTGAGTAAAAACAATGCAGCCATTTGTTACTTCTTTCAAAAAAAAAAAAAAAAAAAAAAATTGTACATCATAAACAATATTTTACAGTTTAAGTTGAATTGATAACAAATATCTCGTATAAATCAAATTTAGTTTTCTAGTATTTATATTCGCACTTTTTTTTTAGAAAAAAAGAAAAATGAAACTATAGTTTGACATAAAATATTATATTTTTACACCTTTTTTGCAATTTAATGATTATTTTGAAATATACATTTTTAGTTCGCAATTTTTTTTTTTATCATAATTTAAAATTAGTAGAAAAAAAACCAATTTTTTCGCTTATTGAACGAATTGTTTTTTCTTTTTTTGTTTCAGGGTTGCATATACAAATTTTTAGAAACAACAAAAGATCATCTAATAATTCTTGGAGCTGTTGGATTAGGACTATCGGTGCTTGAAGTTTTTGGAATTATTCTCGGCACTTGCCTCTATATAAAACTTCGGCACGATTTCGATGACTGAGAATTACTTTATCAAGAGCCTAATAACAATGGGCACTCTTGGTGCCGTTATGCACAAAATCCAGTCTGACAAAACGGACAGTAACGTGATAACGATAATGATTCTACTTCCTGAATTTTTTTCCAAAAAATAACCAAACAGGAAGAATTCTCATTTTGATAAAAAGAAAAAAACAAAATTGAGAAGAATCATTCAATCATCTCACGTTACTGCTTATTTTTGACTTTAAAACAAGAAATTATATCAAAAAAGACATTAAATTAAAAATTTAAAAGTCTTGAGAAAAAAATTTTTAAAAAATGAGTCTTATATATGAAAATAAAATTTCAAAATATCACTAAAATGAAGAAATTGTATAAAAAAATATAAACAAAAACAAGAATTGAGTGGAAAAAAGACATGAAGAAAATAGTCATTAGTTATATAAATACAAAATAAATAAATGACAAAAAAAATGTAAAATAAAAGACGAAGGTGAGAAGAATAAAAAAAATTTACAGACAGAAAATAATATAAAAGAAATATTGTAAAGAGATTTTTTGGTAATATAAATGAAATTTTTTTTTTTGCAAAATTGGGAGTAAATTATGAAAAGGGGAAACATTGAATTAGAAAAACAATAAAGGTTCTCTTCAAAGAATTTTTCTAACCACCACTGAATTGCAGGCTTTAATGACGAATCTTTTTAGCAATAAATCCAACTAATGGGGCATAAGAATTGAAAAGCCTCTATAATAAAAAAAAAGAAAAAAAAGAAAACGTTGGATTCGAAATTTATCGATATACGTTAAAAAGAGGATTCTCTCTATGCGGTCCCAATTTCAATCGACTTTTACCGCTATACTGCCAGTATAATATGTATTTCGCACAGTCCACATTACTGACGAATACTTTCGGTGATATATACATATATAGATCGAAATAAAAACGGGACCACCGAAAAACCAATAAAAGTACCAAATTAAATGACTTAAGCCGCAATACTGGTGCATTGCGACGCCAACATTCACAAAAAAAACGAAAACAAAAAAAAGAAAAAACCAATATCTTCGAAAACGAACAAAAAAGACTTTTTTTAAAAAATTACATTTGAATTACAAATATTGTAAAAATAAAAAAATGCCAATAGCCCTTTTTTTAGTCTATAACATTTTACGTCAATTTTCTTATTTATTGTTTATATATTATTGTAAATAATACTAATATCTTTTTTAATCTTCAACAATAGAAAGAGAAATTGTTAATATCAAAACATTTAAACAAATAAAAATTAAATCTTTAAAGATTTGACAATAATGAAGTCTTAACGATTTAAATGCAAAAAATAAAATAAAATCTTAATTGATTTTATTTTTCAAAGATTTCACATTTTGCACTCGAATCATCAAAGATTTTTTTTTATATGACAAAAATAAATCTCTTAAAATTTGAAAAATTATTTTTTTAAAAAAAATATGTTGTTTTCGTTTTATATTTAATTTATGTACAAAAAAATGCGTTTTTCAAAATTTAATTCGTGTTTGCATAAACAAAAAGAGAGATAAAGAGATTATGTGACAATTTATTTTTTTGTATCGCGAATAATGCGATTGAAAAAGTTTTTTGCAGTGCGAAAAACATATAAATAGTAGAATTTTAATAATTATAATGAAAAAAAAAAAAAAAATTAGTTTTAAAAACTTACGCAGTGCCTTGATACTCTGTAAGTGAGAATTATTTTAGAATATCCAGGGTGTTTGCGTAGCGAAAACACCAAAAGAAAAATAAAATAAAATTTTTAAGTCATCTGCACTATTTTCATCCTGCAATCAGTATTTTTTCTTTTATATTACAAATACGTGTTAAAAAAATATATTACCTATATATACAAAGAGTACAATTTTATTTATGACGTCTCGTCTTTTTATTGTCTGTTATATGCGTCTTTTTTTTTAAATATTTATTATATGCCACGCAAAAATCGCATGAGTGACTAAAATATGACGGTTGCATTATTCTATTATGTATCGTTGCCTTTATTAGTATTTTAATTATTAATATTATTTTTATTATATAATATATATTATATTGTATTAAAATACATGTGTATGTAAATGTAAACAAATTTATTATAAATATATACATATTATTAGTACTTAGGCGAAACTTTATAAATATTGTACATATCAATTGCTATTCTGTTACAAATAAACGTGAAACTAATTTGTCTTCTTTTTATTGTAGAAAATTGATCTTTACTACTTATTTTATAAATACGAAAACTTTAGAAATAAACTGAAATTACGAAAATTAATTAAAAAATTAATTTAGTTTTTTAATCAAATTTAAGTCGAATTGCACTAATTATTTTAGTAATTTTATTATTTAATGTTACTAATTTAGTAATTATAATTCATAAAATTTTACTACTAACAAAATTGTAGTACCAAAGTTTTGCTAATTATTATTTTTTTTTAACTAGGATTAATTTAAAAAAAAAAAATTAGTAACTAAAATTGATAGAAACTTAATTGGTAAATTATTTTTTTCTATTTTTATGGAAAAAAAATTCTAATTCCTAATTTAATGAAATATGTTTGTTAACAAAAGATAAATCTGTCTTTTCAAAATTGTTTCTTATTAATTTTTTTTTGTCAACAATATTTAACTTTTTTTTGAGAGAGAGAGAGAGAGAGAGAAAACAAAAATATTTTTTACTTTCTCGCGTGTTGTATAAGGCTTTAAAAGCGAGCTTTCAGGAACAATGACCGATATCTTCATTAGTCTTCGGAAGCAATTAATTTTGCTTACCCTGTCAAAACTTGTGCTTGGAAGGCTCCGTCGAGTGAAAACCTCATCGTTTATAGAGAGAGAGAGAGAGAGGAGAGATAGTATATATATAGTTTTATTTCCTATACTCTATATCCTCTTTTTATTTTTTTTTTCATGGAAAGGTTTTTTTTATTTATTTACTTTTTTTCTGTAAAATAAGAAAGGTAACTAATTATTTAGATCAATAATGTCACGTTGTTGAACGGAGAATCTCCGCATATTTCTCCATAGTTTCGAGGTGTATCAACAACATGTCGTCTCGAGTACCAAGAGAAACAAAGAACCAGGCCAACACAGCAAGCACATCCTTTGACAGTGTCATTCTCTGCCATGTCGTCATCTCGTTGAGTGGAACTTGAATGCTGCTCTCCTGAAACACATACGCACATATATATATATATATATATATATATATATATATATATATATATATATATATATATATATATATATATATATATATATATATATATTGTAAACCGTGAATGGAAAAACAATGATCGTCCAAAAAAAAAAAAAAATTCCACGCTTTGAAAATAAAGAAACTGTGGCACGATTTGCATTCAACAAAAATTTCGTTTGCTTTTTCAAGGAGTACGGAACCTCTATAAGAGAGCTTTATAATCAAAACAAAACAACATTGGACACTCAAGCAGCGGTAAAAGATTTTATAGAGAGTTTTAAAAGAAAACCCTTTGAAAAGTTGATAAAATTCTTATGATCAGCATAAATAAACATACTTTAATTATTAAAAATTATAATAATAATAATTTTGGTAAAAAAAAAGATTGAGTACCACTACTTGAAGAAAATTCCATAGCACGTACTTTCTAAATTTGAATTACTAGAAATTTTTAAACTCACTTTTTGCATTTGAATTAGTTAAATTCTACTAATTCGATAGTAAAAAAAAATTTTTTTTTTAATTTTTAAATTTAACAGCAAAAATTGAATCACTAATTTAAATTAGTTAAAATATTTACAATTTTCACTAATTCAAATTAAAAATATTGTTGTTATAAGAATTTGGTTCGAATAACAGTGAATTTTATCAATAGAAAATGTGAGTGGTACGTACATTCTTGAAGGTCGTTTCAGTGATACTAATACTACTTGCATTATAGTATATCAAGGAGAGTTTATCGTCAACCCTCAGAGATACTTGGTGCAAGCAAAATGTGATCAGATATAACGGAATTGCCACTGCAGATTTAGCTTCATTCATGTAGATTTCTCGCAGATGTTCAACATCCAAATTTGCAAGATCGAATCTAAAAATTAAAAAAAAAATCATAGCAATATTTTTTCATTATATTTTCTTATTTTAACATTTATTAATAAAAAAATTTAATGTATTTTTTTTATAAAATTAATTTAATAAACTAACTTGTCGAAAGTAGCGATAAGACACATGACGAGAAGGAATGAAAAAATATTCGTGTAGATTTCCGCCAAATACGAATAACTATGTAAAAACTCATGTGAATCATTAAAGTACGTTTGAATCTGTAAAAAATAATTTTAATTATTATTAAAATAAATATCAATTTTAACAAAACTGACTTTTACTACTAAAATTAATATTACATTTTTCTATTGATTTGATTCTTATTTATTTCATTTACTACTATTTTTTTTTAATTAAAAAATACTTTTTCCCCAATCATAATAACAGAAAAGTAAGTAGGAACAAAATTTTTATTAAAAAAATATTTTCTTGGAAAATGAAAAAATTCCATACAAAGTTAAATAAAATTAATCAGCAAGTCTCTATTATTTTTTTACCTTAAAACAACATTAGTAACCTTCAAAAAAACCTACCAATTGAACCTAAATTGCAATCAACTAAGAATAATCAATTTTATTCCATTTTTTTGAATAGAATGTTTTCCTGGAAAATGAAAAAATTCCTTACAAATTCAAAAAAAATTAATTAGCATGTCTCTATTATTTTTTTACCTAAAAATACCACCTTTTACCTTCAAAAAAACCTACCAATTGAACCTAAAATGCAGTAGACTAAGAATAATCAATTTTATTCCATTTTTTTGAATAGAATGTTTTCCTGGAAAATGAAAAAATTCCTTACAAATTCAAAAAAAAATTAATCAGCATGTCTCTATTATTTTTTCACCTTAAAACAACATTGGTAACCTTCAAAAAAACCTACCAATTGAACCTAAATTGCAATCAACTAAGAATAATCAATTTTATTCCATTTTTTTGAATAGAATGTTTTCCTGGAAAATGAAAAAATTCCTTACAAATTCAAAAAAAAATTAATCAGCATGTCTCTATTTATTTTTTACCTTAAAATACCACCTATTACCTTCAAAAAAACCTACCAATTGAACCTAAAATGCAGAAGACTAAGAATAATCAATTTTATTCCATTTTTTCGAATAGAATGTTTTCCTGGAAAATGAAAAAATTCCTTACAAATCAAAAAAAATTAATTAGCATGTCTCTATTTATTTTTTACCTTAAAATACCACCTATTACCTTCAAAAAAACCTACTAATTGAACCTAAATTGAAATAAACTAAGAATAATCAATTTTATTCCATTTTTTTGAATAGAATGTTTTCCTGGAAAATGAAAAAATTCCTTACAAATTCAAAAAAAATTAATTAGCATGACTCTATTATTTTTTCACCTTAACACAGCATTGGTAACCTTCAAAAAAACCTACCAATTGAACCTAAATTGCAATCAACTAAGAATAATCAATTTTATTCCATTTTTTGAATAGAATGTTTTCCTGGAATATGAAAAAATTCCTTACAAATTAAAAAAAAATTAATTAGCATGTCTCTATTATTTTTTTACCTAAAAATACCACCTTTTACCTTCAAAAAAACCTACTAATTGAACCTAAATTGAAATAAACTAAGAATAATCAATTTTATTCCATTTTTTTAAATAGAATGTTTTCCTGGAAAATGAAAAAATTCCTTACAAATTCAAATAAAATTAATCAGCATTTTTTTTTTTAAACTTTATAATGGATTTTTTTTCCTGGAAAACATTCTTTTTTAATAAAAATTATTTTTCAACTTACTTTTCAGTTAGTGGGAATAAAAAATGACAAACATGAATTTGATGTACATTTATACATATAGCCGATACTCACCAAGATGAAGTGCATGAAAGCCATTCCCGCTAAAAGACCTTGACAGATAAAACCAGTGCATTTCCAGACCTTCTGAACCAAGATCGCAATTCTTATTGGATGAGAATAGGAATCCGCTGATTTTTCAACTTTTTTCTTATTCGCCGAACGACCGCGTGTTATCTTCATGGCACTAAAACCATTTCTACCTTGAACATAGATCGTATCCGACTTTAGTTCTGTTAAAGGAATCGGCTCCTCCGCGTACTTGGTCCGATTATTCTCCTGTGCCTTCTTCAATATTTCTGCAATGGGAAGTTCGACCTTTTCGCTAACCTCACCTATATAGATATTGGAGAAAATATATTATAACTTTTCCTTTAGAATGAAAACCCATAACATATATTTCAATCTTAAAAAATTCAATCCTAAAATTCTCTAGCAAAAAAAAAAAAAAAAAAGATTTACAGTATCGTTTCACGGGAATATTAGGTCTTCTATATAGTTTTTATCGTAAGAACTCGGCGGTAATTTATCTTATGTAAGAATTAGAGAAAAAAAGTCGATGAAATATTTTCCATTGATATTCAAAAAATTGATAAATTTTTTTAAAAAAAGGATTGTAATTGATTTTCCTGAGGGGATTTAAAAAATATTTTTACTTATACCCAATCAAAAATTTACTAATGGCGCAGTACTGGCGCAGTACTGGCACCCAGTATTGGCACTAGAGTTGGCGTCACTTTGGGATGATAACATTTTACCAGTATTGGCTGCCAGAGTTGGCACCAGTACTGGTTCTGTACAGACTGCCCAGCCTCGGCAGCCAATACTAAACCAGTACTGCGCCAATAATTAACTCTGGTATAATATTGAAATTTTTGGTTGGGTATGAGGACAAATTGGTTCATGAAAGATTTAAAGTAGATTCAATTTAGTATCAATGTAGATCTAATGTAGGTTTAAAGTAGGCTCAATGTGGGCTCAATGTTGGCTCAAAGTAGGTTCATTGTAGGTTCAATGTAAGTTCAAACTAGGCTCAATGTAGGTTCAATGTTGGCTTAAAGTAGGTCTATCCTAGATTCTATATTGGTTCAAGGTTGGTTCAAACTAGGTTCAATATAGGCCAAGAGAGATCTAATATATGTTGAAATTAGTTTAAAAATCCAATTATTACCAAAAAAAAAAAAACTTATTTGAAAACTAAATTAAATCATAAAGAGAATTTTTGGTGATAAAAATTGTTGAAGAATAAAATTCTTTATTCCCAGTAAGCATTTCTAAAAGTTCAACTTTATTCCTACCGTGGTTGGAACGTTGTCCTTTTTTTCTTGATTTTTCATTGGTATCTTTTTCTCCCGAGTTGAAAGTGGAAATACCATGAGTTCTACTTGAGGCTTTCTTTCTGTTTTCCTCGAGATCTTTTGACGTTTCGAGAGAACGATTTTCACTTCTACGACGTCTCGATAGTCTTCGTTTTCGCTTCCTCTCCAAGACTTCCGGGCTCTCGATCTCATCGTACTTGAAGGCTCCATCGGAGCGGAATTCATTGGAACCCTTTCTCAATTCCAATGTGGTTTTATTCTCATGAAACGAGGATCTTCGTGGTCTAATATTATCCTCTGTGGTGACGGCGGCTGCTGCTGCTGCTGCTGCTGCTGCATCTTCCTCTGTATCATCTGTGTCGCTGGTGTTTATTTTCTCTTTGATTTCGTATGACAATGTTTTTTGACGATGCTTATTTGAAATATTTGAATTCCTTGCAAAATCACCCGAATCAACATCAAAGCTATAGTCAGAAATTTCCTCCTCTTCGTCGTATGATACACTCAAGTCTTGTTGTTTTGTTTTTGTTGTTCTTTTCTCTTGTCGAGACACTCGTCCCGAATGTGACATTTTTTTTTCCTGTCACTAGAGAAATTATTTTTATTTTATTTTGATATTTTTATTTCATTAATTTATTGACATAAAATTTACTTATTTATTAAAATAGGGCAAATATTAGGGCAATAGGGCAATATTTATTAAAAATAAATTTATTTTAGTAATCGAAATAAAAATAAAAAGAAACTACAGTTTAAAAAAATAAAAATTTCATAAAAAAAAACCGAACGCCTACAAAACTACATTAAAGAAGAGATTTGCAATTTTCTTTTTTTTTATTTAAGAAAAAAAAAGCAATGAAAAATAACCTCTTAGGATATGAAAACGTGGATTTAGGTCGACGGTATAATAAAACCATCACTTCAGGAGATCCGCGTCAAGAACGTTTCACGGCAGCTTGCGAAGCCGACGTTGACAAAAAAGCTTCGAAAGTACTATATGTGTAGTTTGAAAAATATGTAAAAATGACACAATGGCTGAAAAGCTTCCATACTTTTGCACTTCTAAGGGCTGCTTTCACGGCAATACTAACGTTTCTAAAAACGCGCGCGTCCCTAGCAACGGATACCACACATTTGTTATGTGCAGGGTAACCATGCGTGTTTTGTGTCCCCTATATAATATTACAAAAAAAAGTGACATGCACTATAGATATTACAAAAATTTCGTTCTTATTTTACTCAGTATTTTTTTTTATTTTTAACAAATTTAAATTTACTTTTTATTTAGTAATAAATCTTTTTTAAAAAAAACTTTCAATTATTTAAATAAAAAAAAAAATTTCCTTTTCTCCAATTGCATTAAAAAAAAGAAATATTTCCTCTTTCATCGAATATGCGCCTGAAAATTACCCACGACAACAAGATTGAAAGGGTTGCCATCGTGCAGGAGACAAACTGGTACCAATGGGTACCACTTAAAAACTCATTTCAAAATAATGTATTTAAAATATTTTTAAAAAATTGAGTGTAAGAATTTTTTTTTTAAATTAAAAATAAAATTAATTAATTACTGAAATAGAAAATTTGATATTTTAAAAAAATATAATAATATTGCATTCTCCGGTGGTAAATAAAATTTCACCAAGTACAAACTCTCGACGTTTATCACAGATGTCGTTGCTATGGCATTTGAAATTTTTTATTAATTAATTACAGTCATTAATCATTTATTTTATTATCATAAAATGCAAAATTATTATATATTCAAATTTAATGAAAAGCTTTCGGTTTCGATTATTATACATTTCAGTGAATATGATTAATAAAATTTTATATCAATATAAACTCGTAATAATATTTATATTTTAATAAATGAAATTTAATGTGAATAATTTTTTTTTTAATTCGTTTATTAAATCATTTTGAAATCATATTTTATATTAAATTTTACCTTTGTATTTCGATTAAGTTTCTTTTAATATTAGAGAATATTTCTCTTAATTTAAGAATCTTTTGAAAGTAAAAAACCAAATTTGGCTTTAAACTAAATTTTTTTAAATTTATAAAAAAATTTTAATTAATAATTTCACTATTAAATTGTATTTTCAATCTAAAACTACTTCACTAAATATGAGAATATATTTTTTAAATTGAATTATCGATATCGAAGTCGATATATCGAAAAACGATGTACTCGATGTATCGAACTATTTATTAAACAATCGATATATCGAAAAAGAAGATATATCAAATCAACTATGTATCGTACGAAATGTTTTTTAAAAAAAATCGATATATCGGAAAAACAATATATCGATACATCGAATAACCGATTAAATCGTCAATATATCGAAATTAAATATAGAAATTTTTTTTTTTTTAATTGTGCTGTAAAACAAAAAAATTATTGCATTAATATTGAGTGAAACAAATAATTTTTTAATTTAAAACCATAAAATTTCTTCGAAACAAATACAATTTTTCATTTTGAAACAAATAAATTTTTTCTTCGAATCAAAAAAAAAAAAAAATAATTTCTTTAAATCGACAAAATTTTTTTCTCGCGTACAATTTTTCGTTTTGGTGAAAATAGAAATTTATATTATTTATAAATGAATATAATAATTTAACAATTTGTAATTCGGTGAATAAAAGTAAAAAAAAAAAAAAAAATGAAAAATGAAGATTTGATATAAAATATATATGAGAAAAAGGGCAATAATAAGCCGACTTTGGAGCGAGAGGGAAGAAATTACTCTTCGACAAACGTTGTGAATAAGATCGATCGCGACCGCCTGTTCTTGCAATGCGGCTTGGCGAGAAAACGTCTCGTCGCGATCGTGCCAGATAGAAGTTTTACAATTTACAATCCGTCGCTTGAGCCGCGAAGAGCGATCTTTGAATCGGTTGGTTTTGCGTTGCGTGCGCCAACAAGTGCGAGAAAGAAAGAGAGAGAGAGAGAAAGAAGCGTTATGTTTGCCCCGCTAATTTGGATTTATGTTCGTATTCGCACGTCGCGCCACCTGTCACCTGATAGAACATTGAGATTCTATACATAAAGTGCGTTTTCCCTTTTACAGGAAATTTAACGTCGACTTAAACTCTTCAGGCGTTTATCAACGTTTATATAAGAGAAAAAAAATATATCCACTCAGAAAAAAAAATTTCTTTCAATCAAAGAAATTTTTCTCTGAATCAAAGAAATATTTCTTTGATTCAAAAAAGTATTTCTTTGATTCAAAAAAGTATTTCATTGAATGAAACAAATATTTCTTTGATTCAAAAAAGTATTTCTTTGAATGAAACAAATATTTCTTTGATTCAAAAAAGTATTTCTTTGATTCAAAAAAGTATTTCTTTGAATCAAACAAATATTTCTTTGATTCAAAAAAGTATTTCTTTAAATCAAACAAATATTTCTTTGATTCAAAAAAGTATTTCTTTGAATCAAACAAATATTTCTTTGAATCAGAAAAAGTACTTCTTTGATTGATGTGTAAAGTTTCTTTTTAGAAAAAAATCGCAAAATTATCACATTTCCCCTCTTTAAAACGAATGAAAATAATAATAGAGTAAAAAGAATAAAATTTCCATCATTTTTTTTTTTTAAATAAACATTCGCTTAATTATACATAATACAATATTTAAGAGTCTCTCGGAACTGTAAATTAATTCAATAAAATTTAATAACTTAGAAAGTGTATAATTTGGAAAAATTAAAAAAATATATATATACATATATAAAAAACGGAAATGCGCATATTCAGAAATTGTTCTTTCGATGACAGTTTTTAAAACATTTTTTTTTTTCTTATAATAAAAAATTATCAATGGTGGTCTCTTGTAAGTACTATAATTTATGACACAGATTATTATTACCACAGATTTGCATTATAGCCATTATCATTGAGATGGTACTTGGTGAGAAAATCAGCCTAAAGGTGCAAAAAAAAAAAAAAAAACACCAGAGATTAATGTCACATTTTTTTATGTCAAAAAAAAAATGTATGAAAAATTCTTAATCAGTTTTCGTTGTGAGAGTCGTTAAAAAAGATATATTTTTTTGTATATATGATTGTAACTATATTTCGTGTTGGAAAAAAAAAAAAAAATTAACAGTGGTTTTAAATAGTCGAGGCACGTAATATGCTCTGGGATGACAATGCCGCGTAGGTTTATCACTTCTCTTTAAATTTTTCACCATCAAAATTTATCTGAAGAAGAAAAATTAGTGGAAATGAAACTATGGGTAAAATCATAAAAACCATGGGCGAAATCGATTGCCAAGGAAAAAACGATTAGACCCATGGTTTAAACCTTGGCAAAAATCTCAAAAACCATTGCTTATGTCCGTTTCCCATGGTACAATTTCCCATAGGAAATGTTTTTTTTAATTTTACGGATTTTTAACCATTGCTAAAATCATGGAAACCATTGGAAAGTTAATTTTTTAATTTTACTAATTTTGGGCCATTGCTAAAATCTTGGAAACAATGGGAAAATTTTTTTTTTTATTTTGGACCATGGCTAAAAACTTGCGAACCATGGGAAAATTTTTTTTTCTTTTTTACAGATTTTGGACAATGGCAAAAAAACTTGCGAACCATGGGAAAATTATTTTGTTTAATTTACGGATTTTTGACCATTGCAAAAATCATGCGAAATATGTGAAATTAATTTTAAAAAATTCCCAATAGTTCGCAAGTTTTTAACCATGCTCCAAAATCCGTAAAAAAAGAAAAAAAATTTCCCATGGTTCGCTATGATTTTAGCAAAGGTTTAAATTAAAAAAAATTATAAAACTTTTTTCCATGGTTTTCAAGATTTTAGCAATGGTTTAAAAACCGTAAATTAAAAAAAAAAAATTTCCCATGGTTCGAAAGATTTTAGCAATGGTCAAAAATCTGTAAATTAAGAAAAATAATTTTCCCATGGTTCCCAAGATTTTAGCAATGGTCCAAAATCAATCAAATTGAAAAAAATAATTTTTCCATGGTTCGCAAGATTTTAGCAATGATTCAAAATCAAAAAAAAAAAATTTTTTTTTATTTCCTATCGGTTGGCAAGATTTTAGCAATGGTCCAAAAACTGTAAATTTAAAAAATTAATTTTCCCATGGTTCCCAAGATTTTAGCAATGGTTCAAAATCAGTAAAATTGAAAAAAATTTTCCAAGGTTTTCGGTTTCCGGTTTTAATCCGTAAAATTAAAAAAAAATTTCCCATGGAAAATTGTACCATGGAAAACGGACATAAGCAATGATTTTTTAAGATTTTTGCCAAGGTTTAAACCATTGATCTAATCGTATTTACCTTGGCAATCGATTTCGCCCATGGTTTTTATGATTTTACCCATGATTCCATTTTCACGCGGAATTGCTCAAAATATTTTTCGCAAAAAAAAAATTATTTATTTTCATTTAATGAAATTTCAATGCTTTATTAATATTGAAATCACGCAAGGGAAGTGAAATCTGATAATATTTAAAGTTAAACGAACATTCTTTAGAATTTTTTTTTTTTCTCTCTCGCGAATGTAACAAACAATATTTACGAGATAAATTTCATACTATCACGCGCTTTCAAGTTTGAAACATGTCTTATAAATTAACGAATCTTTGTTAGCGCATTATAATGAAAACATAAATTACTTTGCCCGCGTCTTGTACAAATGTTTTGTCTCCTCCCCCTCCTCATTACCCTCTCTGTCTCTTTGCAAAACCCTCATTCTCTGATTTTGCCTGGAATTAAATAGTCTTTCTCCATATTGCGAGGTCGCGAATCTCCATCTGTCTATCTCATATATATATATATATATATATATATATATAAATTCCTCGCAAATATATATATGGGACATTTCAAAAAAATTTATATATTTTTTTTTTTATGAAAAATAAAATTTGTATTTTTTTTTTTTATTATTGGACATACTGTATATGTACTATATATATATATATATATATATATATATATATATCGATATTTACCTGGGCAATTAGTTTTGCAGAGAATGTTGTTGTCCTTGGTGAAAAGAACAGGCGCACGCGCGATCATTTTGTGCGGGGGTGCTGCTCGTTTTTCCAAAGACAATGCCTCGTGCGGTGTGTGCGCGTCTCT